GCAAACTGGGCAAGGATTTCTGCTACAGAAATTCAATCAGTCATAGCAATAAACGAGCAGAAATACCTCACACTACCTGAAATGATTTAAAACTATATAACTGTGTCATTTAGGGGCAGATGACTCCTGATCATGGGTCCCAATGAGTCTGGTAAGATTATCAGCATTGCTGGCTAACAAATCTTTGCTTAAATCTATAGGGTTAAATGAATTAACGTTTCATTATGGCTCTGTCTGGATGTCTTGATCATGAGAAACCATGTGAGAGTAGCTTCTCTAAACTTCTGTTTATGTTAATCTGTGTCAGTTTGAACAAAACCAGGGCAGTAGTTAGTCAACAGGTTTCAGAACTGTATGCTATAGGGTGGTTATATATATTGTCAAGTGTTGTTTCCGGGTGAAATCTTAACCAGCAGAGGAACAATCTTATAAGGCGGATTTTTTTATTTTTTATTTTTTGTTTGATCTTCTTGTATTCAATAGTAACTTGTAATATATGTTCTGCTTCCTTTCTGGTCTAACATTAGTCACTCTGATGCCTCATTTTCTCTCTATTCTGTCAGTGACAGAATTTTTTGTTGTTTATTTCAGATATGTTTTAGTCTCTCTTTCAGGATTACATCAGTGCTTTTTTTATTTCTGTGCGAACCATATTGTTCCTGCTTCCAAAAGATGAAAAGTTTCCTTTGGTCTGTTACAGTTTGCAGGGGGTTCCGATAGAGACTTGAATCAATTAGTAGCCCTTTCATCAGAAAACAGGTCATACCTCAGATCCTTTTTTTTATTCTGCCTCAACTTCTGGTGCCTTTCATTTCAGCCATGTTCAATACTGTCATCTGCTCTCTTTCTCTCAAACTTCATACAGCGCTTTAGAAGGGCCAACATCTGGCTGCTTCTTAAGTCCGGGCCTGTGCATCCGTTTCTGGGGTAACAGGGCCGACAGATCAGCCCCTCCTGTGGAGCTCAGCCTTTGGTGGATGTTGGGCTGATCACAGTCTCCATTTCCTGACTCTTGGTGCCTTGATGTGGCCAGAACCACAGGGCATGATTAATTACAGCACTCCGTCCACACTGCTGGTACTGCCATTATTGTAACCATGCATTCCCTTCTCTGGCCCTGTGTCTTTCACCTGTGGCATTAAGCCTCCAGCTGAAAACAGCTGACACAGCTCCAGAACCCTTACATAAGATGTTCTGCTGCCCTAAATTAATGTTTAGACATAGTAGGTTGAAGGAGGTGGGTATCCACACTGTGAATGAGGTGAAAAAGTTGTATGGGAGATGACATATACAGTTGACTAACTGCAGGACAACAAAATCAGCTGTTTCCATTTCTACTATGTCAACTTTACACACTTTGTGTACGGACTTCTAATTTGTTTTGCCCTGTAGTTTCATGGCATGAAAAGACCAATGGCTGTAGGAGCGGAGGTGGCAGAGGGGGGGTTAATTAGTTTTTTGGCTGTGTGGCCAATCAAAGAGACCTCATCAAAGACATCCAGCCAACGTGTCCCACAACCTTCCTAGTCTCTTTTCTTCCGTTTACACAAGAGCCACACAGCGTAATCAGCATGACGGGAGCAGGAAGCATGAGATGGATGAAGAAGTGGAGGACAGAGACATTCCTGACATCCAGGAAAGCACCGGGACAGGAACAGGGACTGTTTTTTTTTTTTGTATAAGCAAACCAGAGTGAGTAGGCAAAAACCTGGAAAACGGAAATGGAGTGCAGAAATGACAGGATCCTTTGGAGGGATGTGGTGGAGCTGTGTTTACAGACAACGGTCACACAGTGTACCGTGACTTTGGGTATTGCCAGCCCTGAGTTTGTTGATGGGTAACCGCAGCTAACCAACAATCAAGCAATATTTACATCAGTGCCGACCATTAGTCCTTTTCTCAGGATGTGCAGCATCTCAAATTATGCTCAGAAAAAAGTATATTATCTATATATACATTTTTTTAGAAGACATGAAAAAAACAAAGGAGGAGCAGGACAACTCATACGCGCTTCGATCATAAACATAAAGACATTGATCTTAGTCGCCGCCACCAAGACGAGCTAACTGAAAATCATTCCAACCATGCTGTGATTCTCCACTGGTGGGAGAGACTCTCAAAGGCAGCTGCCTCAAAGCCCCACAGAGGTATCAGATCTCACCCTTTTTCTCATCTCCTTAATTAGGACAATTAAGGAATTTACAGGACAGATGGACTGAAATCCAGCTGGCTGCAGTGTGTGCCCCAGAGGATTGCTCTGATGATGATAAGAAGAGTGAATATTGGACAGTGTTACATCAACTTACCGGTGGGACTCTGGTGCCCTCTGGTGGAAAGAGAAGAATAATGCTCATATATATATATATATATATATATATATGAGCAT